AAAAAAAAAATTCTTAAAAATTAAAAAAAAAAAAAAAAAGGTGTTCTCTCCTAAAGCCTAACTACCCCAGGTCTCCTGTAAATGCTCACTCACCTGAGTACTTCTGGTTTAGCAATTTTTCTTCTAAGGACCATGGCTCTTCTCCTTGCTCCAACTTGAAAATCACTCTGGGTTTGGTAATGCAATACCCTGTAAAGGGAATAACTGAGGATATCACATATGGACCAGATCCATGACCTTTAGGTTTCTGAAGGTGGAAAAAGATGGAGCAGCAAGAGCAGTGAAGGTATGCATCTCAAGTCTTCAGTGGGAAAGTAATGACACCAACACTGTTCCGCCAAGGTTTTAATTGCCTTAGACCTCTTCATCTAAAGCCCAAACAACACTAATCTCTTTAAATGATCCAAGTGTCTTGTTTTGATTTTTAAATTTTGCTATAGGGCATGGATGCTTGCTAGACAGAGAGAGAGAAAGAAAAAGAGAAAGAGAAAACACTCCTCAGGGTATGGTCATGCAGCATTCCCTTCTCCATTCTCTTCTTGGGGTTTTGGGCACTGTACACACAGTCACCCATCCTGTTTTTCAAACCGCCAGATCTGGGACTTGAACTGCACTGACATGTGGGAACCAACCACCTTAATTAACCCCTACCCCACAAGCTGACAGGTCTATGTGTTTTTAGTTTTTAGTTTTGTTTTTTATCCCCAGAACTTTGGAAGAAGGTATATGCACTCACTGGAGAATGAGAGAGACAGTGACAAAGCACCTCCCAATGGGATGGTCACACTGCAATCCCTCTCCTCCACTTATCCTTCCTTTTGAGATGTAAGGCACACATGCACACATGCTTGGTGTGTTTCTCAAGCCACCAGGTCTAGGGCTTGAACCACATAGTTGACCATGTGGGATCCAGCCACCTTAACCACCATGCCAGGGACTGGCCCTTTCCATTTTTTTTAAAGTTTACTTATTTCTTTCATGAGTGAGAGAAAAAGGGAGAGAAGAGAAGACATCCTAAACAGGATCTTATCCTACCATGATCCCTCTAGAGGACCAGCCTTTCCAGCTAGCAGGATAACAGATACACGCACCAGATGCCTGGAAGGCTCAGACGGACCTGGGATCAAAGCCCTGGGCTTTTTTATGCAGCTGCAGCCCTGCGCACCAGTACCCTACCACCTGTGCCACTGTAGTCAGGCCCACGTGCTCTAATAAATTTAAAAAAGGAAATACATTATAGAGGTAAGGGTCACACAATAAGGTCTGCTCACCCACAGAGATTAGGTGGCTATAGTTCTCCAGCATCACGTCTCTGTAAAGGGTCTTCTGGGCAGGTGCCATCTGCTGCCATTCTTCCTGGGTAAATTCCACAGTGACATCTTCAAATGACACTGCCCCCTATAACAACACATGTTCTTCAAGGGTTAAGAATTAGGAGACAGAACATACCTTTGAGAATGACTACTTTCTACTCGAGGCTCTAAGACAAATGGTTATAAAGGCCTATTTTGGACAAAATTTTGTCTTAAACTTCGGTGTTACTCAATTAGCAAAAATGGTTTTTGACTTAGCGTAATTCATTTACATATACTTATACATTATTTTTAAGACAAAAAAATCCAATGTAAATAGGCATCCTACAACTCTTCCACTCCCCACTGTATTATCCTGGGTATTTTCTAGGATGTTCACACCCTCCTTGGACACCATCACCATAAATAACAGGAGCCAAACAGAGATGTATAAAGCTCAGGAAACATTACACGTGACCAAACTCAGAATTAAATGCTTAAAGTATATAAGCCTGGAGCGCATGAAAAGCAGAGAACACCATACAAAAGAGCTGAAACCAGAAAGCCCAGAATCAGAAAACACTATCTACCCTGGGACCAGCAGTTAGTGTAATGGCTATGTCTCTGAACTCCCATGTAGTTGACCGTAGTTCGAGTCCTGGACCTGGTGGCTTAAACTCATGCCAGGCGCATGTGCGTGCATGCCCAAGATCCTGAGAGGAGAATGGAGGAGAAGGGATTGTGGCATGGCCATCCCCCCTGGGGGGTGATTCCTTGATTTCTATCTCTCTGTCTCTCTCTGTCTGTCTGGTGAGAGCACACACTCTATAGCAAAAAAAAAACCTCTCCAAAAAAAAAAAAAAAACTCTCCCATAAAAAGAAAACACTATCCACCCTGAAATAAGTGCAATGGGTATAAGAACGGGCATTTAATCACACAGGAAAAGCACAGTCATCTGACAGCTACTTTCTTATGCGGCTCCCCAGTCCAGCTGTATCATCAGCTTCTTTTGATTTGTTTTCTCTTTAATTTTTATTTTTAATTGAGAGAAAAATAAATAACTCAAGTAAGATCTCACTTTTATGTGGAATTAAAAAAAGTCAAACTCTTAGAAGTAGCAAGTATAATGGTGGCTTCTAGAGGCTGGAAAGTTGGAGGGCAAAAGGGGAGAAATGGGGAGATGTTAATCAAAGGCACAGTTTTGGTGGGACCAGCAGTTAGCATAATGGCTATGTCGCTGGACTCCCATGTAGTCGACCCAGTTCATGTCCCGGACCCGGTGGCTTAAAACTCATGTCGGGCGCATGTGCATGCGTGCCCAAGATCCCCAGAGGAGAATGGAGGAGAAGGGATTGTGGCGTGGCCATTCCACCAGGGGGGCGGGGGGGTGGTGATTTCTCGCTTTCTGTCTCTTTGTCTCTGTCTGTCTGGCAAGCACACATGCCCTATAGCAAAAACCTCTCAAAAAAAAAAAAAAAAAGGCACAGTTTTGGTCAGGCAGAAGTAAGTTTTGAGACCTGCTGTACAATAAAGTGAGTACAGCTGATATTAATGTCATATATGTTTCAATACAAGCAGCTCCTTCAGAGTACTAAAAACTGGTATGATGGTACCAAAAAGTGCTTTCTGAGAGAAAAAGAAACTTTTTAGAAGTTTTAATCAGATCTATTCACGCTGTGACTTAAGTGCCTGAGAAACATCAAGTTGATTTCAAAGCACAGAAGGGAGGTCTAGGATGAAGACAAGCATTTAGGATGTGATCGTTCAGCTCCTACTGTCTTCAAAGCCAGAGAAGTTTTCTGAAAATCAATAGTAGAATCAGGGAAGTGTAGAGTCTTGGAAACTGAGAAAGGAAGTTTCTACAACAAAATATTTCAAATTCAAGCTAACAGGTGCTATCCATGAAAAACAGTGATCCAAGAAAATTCACTCTTCCATAAAAGCAATGAGAAATGGGGGAAAAATGTAGAACCAACTTTCTCAGAACTCTGGACACTAACAAAAGGCTTGGGATAATCTGCAGAACATTTATACAAGGAAAGTAGCTGCCTCTTAGGAACAGAAATCCTGTGTCCTTTTTTTTTTTTTTTTTTTTTTAAGAGACAGATTTATGTCATAAGAGCATGTGTGCTTACTAAAGAGACAGAGAGAGAGAGACAGAGACAGAAAGTGAGTATCCCCCTCCTCCCCACCAGGAGAGATGGCCATGCTGCAATCCCTTCTCCACTCTTCTCACAAGATTTTGGGCATGCCCACACACACGCTCATCCTGTTTTAAGCCACCAGTCCAGGACTCGTACCGCAGTTGACTATGTAGGAGTCCAGTGATGTAACCATTACGCCATCAGTTGATTCCAATCCTGTGTCTTTTTAACCTGCCCTATCATCATCCCTTTCTTTCCAATTCTGTAGTAGCTTTGAGAATTGCCAGTCTGAAGTAACAGCAAAATTCTGTAGACTGGCAACTACTGGAGTAGGCAGAACTAGGCTATGGTCCTTTTGAAGCCTCACTCCCAGACAACTGTCATTACTGGACCTGCTGTGGGTTCCCTGGAAGACCTCACTTGAAAGGCTGGCTACATGAACTAATTCAGAGCTCACCCAGTGTGAAAAGCTTGATCCTCAGAGGTATTAATCAAAATCATTTAAACGTTGTTTTTACCTTAGCAGCTACTAAGTAGTAGATAACAGCTGGACAAACAGCCTAATGAAAAAGCTGGAGAATAAAATGTCCATAAAGGTTTTTCAAATCTCTGATATAATCCTAAGACTCTAGAAGGCCAGCTACACAACACAGAGCTGAGTAAATGCCCAGGGCTGTGGGCATGCTCAGGAAAGACCTGAGAAGACCCTAAGCTGTCACCTCTCAGTGACCTTGACATCTGGAGTAAGCAGGAAGTGAAATCTACTGTGGAGCTGTAAACAGCCTGGATAATTGTTGAAGGACTGTCCCAACACACAAGGACCACACTGGCGAAGACTGGGGAGCTACTGGTTTCAGGAATTTAAGGAAATTTCAGCTGACACAAATGACAAAAATACAGACTTTACAGAATTAGGAATTTTTTTGTTTTGTTTTGTTTTTAGTTTTTTTGCTTTAGAACACATGCACTCACCAGAAAAAGACAGAGAGAAGGAAAGTGAAAATTAACCCCCAGGGTGTTGGCCATGTCATACTCCCTTCTCCATTCTCCTCTCAGGATCTTGAGTATGCACATTCATGCACCCAGCGTGATTTTCAAGACAATGAATCCAGGACTCGAACCATGGTCGACCATGTGGGAATTCAGAGCCTTAACAACTAGCCACTTGCTAGCACCCCAAAATAAGGTTTTAAAGAAAGTCATTAAACAAATTTCCACAACTTTAGAAATTCTGATTTTGGAACCAGCAGTTTGTATGGTAGTTAAGGTGCTGGACTCAACACGATTGACCACTATTCAAGTCCTGAAAATCACGCTAGGCACAAGTGCATGAGTGCTCAAAACTCCAGGTGAAGACTGGAGAAGAGTGGACAAGGATTGTGGAGTGGCCATCCATCTGGGGGGTTATTTTCACTTTTCCTCTCACTGTCTCTCTCTGGCAAGTGCATGTACACTATGGCCAAAAAAAAAAATTTGATTTCTAGAGTTGCCACACTATTAAAAAGGCCCAGTTTTCAACAACAAAAAAATTACAAAATGAAATGACCAAGAAAGAAAGACCCATATGCAAGAAAGAAAAATCTTACCTATCAATAATACTACTGGGAACCAGCAGTTAGCGTAATGGCTATGTCTCTGGACTCCCACGTAGTCGATCGCGGTTCGTGTCCCGGACCCGGTGGCTTAAAACTCACGCCGGGCGCGCGTGCGTGCGTGCCCAAGATCCCGAGAGGAGAATAGAGGAGAAGGGATTGCGGCGTGACCATCCCCCCTGGGGGGTGATTTCTCACTTTCTGTCTCTATGTCTCTCTCTGTCTGGCGAGCGCACGCGCCCTACAGTGAAAATCTCTCAAAAAAAAAAATAATAATAATACTGAGGAAATAAGACATTGTATTTAAAATAGACAATGACTTTAAATCAGTATTTAAAATATGGTCAGGACCAGATAGTGGCACAATGGTAATCAAACTAATCAAGTTGAAGAGGTACTTTGGTTCATGTTCTAGGACCTCCTGAACACATGAAGTTTATGCACATGTACCTAAGATCTAGGCCGGCTGAGGCTGGCGGTGGATCAAGCTGTGAAAACCATGTTGTGGGTCTCTCTCTGAATAAATGAATAAATCAATTAAATATAAATACATAGATGTACGGTAAAAAACTAGAAAGAATGGTATCTAAGGACTAAAACAAAATATGAGAACATTTCCTCAAAAGAGGACACCAATAAAGATAAGCAGGGACCAGAAGATGGCATAATGGTTACATTACTGGACTCCCACATAGTCGACTGCAGTTCGAGTCCCAGACCCAGAGGCTTAAAATTCACACTGGCACATTTATGTATCTGCACAAAATCCCAAGAGGAAACTGAAGAAGGAACTGCAGTGTGGCCACCCCCATGGGGCTGACTTCTCACTTTCTGTCTCTCAGGTGAGCACACGCAACTTATAGCCAAAATCTCTCTTTAAAAAAAAAAAAAAAATGGGACCAGCAGTTAGTATAACAGCTATGTCGCTGGACTCCCACGTAGTCGATCACAGTTCGAGTCCTGGACCTGGTGGCTTAAACTCACGCCCGGTGCGTGTGCATGCGTGCCCAAGATCCTGAGAAAAGAACTGAAGAGAACGAATTGCGGCGTGGCCATCCCCTCGGGGGGTGCTTTCTCGCTTTCTGTCTCTCTGTCTCTGTCTGTCTGGCGAGTGCACGCACCTTATAGCAAAAACCTCTCCTAAACAAAGAAAAAAAAATGCAAATCATAAAACATAAGAAGTAAACAGACTCTAGAGGTAAACAGTATAATAGCTGAAACAAAATTTTCACCCCCAAAAAATATAAATATATGTCCAACAGCAGATTTGAGCAGGCAGAAGAATGAGCCAACTGGATGACATGTCCATTTTAAATAGATTATGCAATATGAGAACAGAACGAAAAAATAATGATAAAAAAGAGCTGTGGGAAAGCACCAAGCTTACCAATACATGCGCAGAGTACTAGACAGCAGAGAGAGTCTGAAGGATATTTCAATAAGAACCAAAAAGTTTCCAAACTGATTTCTAATGAGAAACCACAGAAGACAAAAGGCAATGGGATGACATATTTAAAGTGCTAAAGAAAAAAGACTATCACCTAAGAATCCTCTATATCTAGCAAAAATGTACTAAATCTTCCCAGACAAACAGAAACTGAAAGGCTGCCTCACAGGTTCAGCAAATATATAGAGAAAGAAAGTAGATTAATGTTGCTGAGGGATTAGAAGTTATAAGAACACACGATGGAATTTCAAAAACTTGGTGAAAAAAACGGAATTAAAGTACAAGTCTAGGGACCAGCAGTTAGCGTAATGGCTATGTCTCTGAACTCCCATGCAGTCGATCATAGTTTGAGTCCTGGACCAGGTGGCTTAAACTCACGCCAGGCACATGTGCATGCATGCCCAAGATCCTGAGAGGAGAATGGAGAAGAAATTGTGGTGTGGCCATCCCCCCCTGGGGATGATTTCTCACTTTCTGTCTCTCTCTGTCTTTCTGGCGAGCTCAGGTGCCCTATAGCAAAAACCTCTCCCAAAAAAAAAAGTACAGGTTTATTTTGGTACAAAAAACTTGGAAATCCATGCATAGTTTTTTCATGATATGCATTTTCCATAAGTTTTTCAAAGACCTTCTCATCCAGAATCTTTCTTTTTTCTCTTTAAGTTTTTGTTACAGGGTGCATTCACTCACCAGAGTGTGACTGAGAGAGAGAGAGAGAGAGAGAGATAAAAGAGGAAAAGTGAGAAATCACCCCTTTGGGAGAATAGCCATACCACAATCCTTTCTCCTCCAGTTTCCTCTTGGGATTTTTGGGCACACCTGCACATATGCCCAATGTGATTTTCCAGCCACTGGGTCTAGGACTCAAACCATGTAGTTGACCACGTGGGATCCAGCACCTTAATCTCCATGCCACCTGTTGGCCTCCACACAGAGTTTCTTTCTAAGGGGCTAAAAATTTTCTAAAATTGACTGTGGTGATTTTTGTGCATATCTATGACTATACTAAAAAAAAATTACTGAATTTTACACCTGAAATAGATGAATGATACATTATGTAAAGTAAATCTCAATAAAGTAGTTAGAAAAAAATGAAAGAGTGAAATCATTCAGAGACAATGAAGATTAAAGGACCCAGGATGGAGACTGAGATGTGTCATGGGAAAGGACAAGAGAAGATAGCTCTGTGATGATATTAGCAGGGGAAAGGCAGGATTAGGGGAGAGTGTTACTAACACAGAAACAGAAACTTTCTAGAAGGACGGCTTGAGAAGAGCCAAGTGCAGCAGAAAAATCAAGTGAGGAAAGGCTATGACAACACTCACTAGATTTTTTTTTTTTTGGAGAGATTTTCACTGTAGGGCACATGCGCTCGCCAGACAGAGAGAGACAGAAAGCGAGAAATCACCCCCCAAGGGGGATGGTCACGCCACAATCCCTTCTCCTCCATTCTCCTCTCGGGATCTTGGGCACGCACGCACACGCGCCCGGCGTGAGTTTTAAGCCACCGGGTCCGGGATGCGAACCACGGTCGACTACGTGGGAGTCCAGCGACATAGCCATGACGCTAACTGCTGGTTCCCCTCACTAGATTTTACTATCATCTGGTTAGGATCACTGGAGGTCACATGCTGGAGGGAAGAGATACCAAGGCATCGTGTCAATATGAGGTTTAATGCTAAGTGTGGAAATATTTGAAAAAGGAACTTTCAGCAGCCTGTCGAACATCCTAAGTATCACAGGTACTTGAAGTATTTATGGAGAGTAATTTTTCAAACACTAGTTGATTTATCAAAAAATATAAACAAGCCCTGTGTTCAAATTCTTAGAAAATGTGAGTTTGCATTTAGCATTAAGTTTTCTACTTCCACTGAAGAACAGGAAGATAGCATTCTATGCAATTTTAGCAAGTTGCAAACTGAATTTTGTAACTGAAAAATAAAAAAAATAGACTTGTTTATCTTCAACTTTATATTTCATGAGGAATCAGTTTGCTTTATTTTCTCATCAATGAAAACCTTTTCTTATTTAGAGAGAGTTTTGCTATAGGGTGCGTATGCTCACTGGAGAGACAAAGACAGAAAGCGAGAAATCACCCCCCAGAGGGGATGGCCAGGTTGCAATTCCTTCTCCACTCTCCTCTTGGAATCCTTGGCACGCATGCACACATGCCCAGCATAAGGGTTTTTTTGGTTTTTTTTTTAAAAGAATTATTTTATTTATTTATTTATTTAATTTGACCAAAGAGGGATGGGGGAGGGGGAGGAGAAACCAAACCACCCGGTCCAGAACTCGAACCACTGTCAGCTATCTGGGAGTCCAATACCCTTAACCACCATGCCACCTGCCAGGCCCGCAGGGAGAGTTTTAGGCCTCCAGATCTGGGACTCAAACTGCGGTCAAGTCTCAGACCTGGAGACCTGGGAGTCTAGTGACGTAACTATTATGTCATCTGCTGGTCTCCACTGATGCTAATCTATCTGAAACTACTGTATCAAAAATCTCAGAAATAAATGTAGAGCTCAATTTGCTCAATCTGTAGTATCAGAGGACCTACATCTATCCACAGCCTACCTTTGCTAGTCTACCATTCACCTATATTTCTTTATCTTCTGTGACTATATCTTATCAAAATCTATTTCTTGAGGACTAGCGGGTGGCACGGTGGTTAAGGTGCTGGACACTCCCATATGGCAGACCAAGGTTTGAGTCCCAGACCTGATGGGTTGCTTTCTCATTTTCTCTCTCTCTCTCTCCCTGGTCAAATTAAAATGAATGAATGAATAAAATTAAATAATAAAAAAAGGTCAAAAAAATTTCTCTTCTTCCATGCTAATATATAGACACATAAACCCTTATACAATTCACTGTAAAATAAACTAATAATTAAAAGCCAAACTCACCTGAGCTATGTTCATTTCGTCTGCTCCTGGAAGAGTGTATTGAATTGTGAAGGTTCAACTGAAGAGGAGGACAGCATAATGACATAATGAGAGACCTGGTCTGCCCCACAGTGCCTCTATTTTCCTGCCTAAAAACTCATCACATGGGAGGCCAGCAGATGGCATAGCAGTTAAGGTGTTGGATTCCCACATGGCGAGCCATGGTTCGAGTCCTGGACTCAGAAGCTTGAAAATCATGTCAGATAGGGACCAGCAGATGGAGTAATGGTTATATCACTGGACTCTGACAGTGGACCACGGTTTGAGTCCTGGACCTGGCAACTTCAAACTCACACTGAGCATGTGTGTGTGCATACCCAAAATCCTGAGAGGAGACTGGAGGAGAAGGAACGATGGCACGGCCGTTCCCCTGGGGAATAATTTCTCCCTTTCTATTTGTCTCTCTGGCAAGCACACACGCCCAATAGCAAAACCTCTCTTAAAAAAAAAAAAAATCACGCCAGGGATATGCATGTGCATGCCCCAAATCCTGAGAGGAGACTGAAGGTAAAGAGACGGTGGCATGGCCATCCTCCCTGGGTGGTGATTTCTCACTTTACTTCTTTCTGTCTCTCTGGCTAGCACACATGCCCTACTGCAAAAACCTTTAAAAAATTAAAAAAGGGATTCCCAATGGGGAATATCTTTTATTAATGAGAAGAGACAGGAAACATCACACAGAGGCACCTGCACATGTGCATCCTGGATACAATATGGACCTGACCTTCCATTTCCACAGAGTAAAGTAATAATGTATGTTTTTGTTTGAATAGCTGAAAAAGAAGTAAAATTAAAACAGCAGAGGGCTGGTGAAAACAGTTTACCCACAGAAGAGATGAAACCTTCTATCTTTACTAAAGCTAATGTTGTCCAAAAACTACTCAGGCTGACATCTGGACTATTAATCAAGTTCTTATTGTCTTTACATCATAAATTGCAAGTTCCAGAGAAAATTGAAAGATGGGCTGTTTTATACAAGGGATATATTTTTAACTTTTTAATTTAAACTGCTGATTCTAAACAGCTCGTTTTTCGGTTGGAGTGGGGCAGGATTTTTTTTTTTTTTTTTTTTTTTAAAGACAGTCTCACTGCCTTGCCATCCTGCTGCCTCAGCCTCCCAAGTAGCTGGGACTGTAAGTAAGCACCACTATTTTGGGTGGGCTGCAAATCGAACACAGGCCTCCTACGTAGTCCTAACCTGCCAAGCAGCAGCATCCAGTGTGTGTTACCACAATGGGCCAAAAGACCTTTTGCTAAGATGATCATGGCACTCACCTGTGTTAAGTGAATAGCACTGTGCTTAGTTTCTGGTTCCGTATTGGGTGATTCTACCATTCATTTCAGGCCCAGTATTTTGGGCTTCCAATATGGAAAATTCTCCTACTATAATTTTGGTATTTTCAAAGTTCAGGAAAGAAGGAACATTGGCATAATTTTAAATATCTTCTCTGATGATGGACATGGTGTGAAAGTGGTTGAGAATCTGGAAAGGGGAGAACAAAAGAAATGGGGTCTCTGTTTACGATTTTCATCAGCTGATTACATATTCCCTGGGTATCAGACCCTCATCAGCCCTTTAATAATGTATCTTCTCCTATTCAGCCACTCAGCTCTCTCAAGCCCAGTTTACTAGTGTCTATAAGTTGGCCCACAGCATCCATGGTCACACACGTTATGATGGCTTCTAGATGAGGCAACATACCCAAGTCTAACTCATGCTACATGGGTAATCAAGAACTGCCTCCAGTGGAGCAAATCAGGACATGCTCCTTCCCAGAATCTTAGTCTGGCTCTGAGGCTCTGTCAGAAGGGCTGTCCTAAGTAGCAGTAGTCCCTGGGACTCCCTCTGTTCTGCCTTGTAAGAGCTGGTTTGTTCCAGAGAGGGTGGGCCTGGACCTAAGTAACACATTAACTTTATCTGAAATCTCAATCAAACCTTCTATACCTCACTCTTTTTTTGAATTCACTGGCAATGTGCAGGCCAGTACTATGGCCATTAGCCACATGCAATTGCTGAACACCTCGAGTATGAGCAATGCCACATGAAGTCAAGGTAACATTTTAGATGTACTGAGTTAAATAAAATGTCAGTAAAATTAGTTTTGCCTGCATCTTTTCACTGTAGCTACTGAAAAAATGGTAAGTTATAGTTTTTTTACACAGCACTGCACTAGAATACCAACCCATGCTTTGGAGAGACACATTCTCTGTCTGATCACAGATTCTATAAAGAACTCACAAATCCCAGAACACATTTACTACCTGGTGAGATTCTTTGTTCACTTCACAATCATCTATGAAGACCTGGGGCCAGGCCCGTCTGCCTAAGTGCTCTGAAGGTTGGCAGGAAGGACATTAAGAGCAAGGGACAGGGAGTAAAATCTCTCTGTATCTGCGTCCTACCTCTCTTGGATATCCACCCCTAGGGCATTCCTTTAACTTTTCTAAGTGGCATGTTTATAACAGGGTTATTCAGGGTTAAATAAAATATCAACGATGAGAACAAATGACTCTCAACTAAGACAGCAGCTCAAATTTTTGAGACGATTATGTGATGAGAGACGCCTGACGAATAGTCGATGACAGCTTATCTGATCCTCAGGAAGACAGTAAGCGTTGCTAGAGAAACTCCCTTTACACCGTCAGCGTTACAAACGCGCCGTCCCCTGCCCTGTCCACACGAGCACCCTCTCTGGACCAGGACGCGGCCCGATCCGCTTCCCAGGAGCACGGAGCTGAGCGCGCACGGAGACTGGACGGCCCGCCGGGGGATTTCTAAGACTTCCTGCTCCAGTCCTCGCACAAAGCCCTCCCGACCCGGGGTCCCAGGGCGCGCATAATCCCATCACCCGCACGCTCACCCCGACACGCGGCCTCCGCTCCCGCACAGGTTCAAAGACCCTGAGATCTGGACCCCCTCAGTAAGCGAGGGCGGAAGGCAGGAGGCGGGGCTGGGTCAGCACATGCGCACAGTGAGCTCGGAGTAGCCGTTCCCAGAGTTCTGCGCGGCACGCGCTTCCCGGGGAAACTACAATTCCCACAAACCTCTGCATATGACGGAAGTAATTTTTCCCGCTTCATTAGACGATTGAAAGACAAGTGATGGTTGACCCTGACGCTTGGAGCCAAGATTTTTCCCGCATCTTCGGAGATTTTAGGCACACCAGCAAACTGCAATTCATTGTTCTCCATCCCAATCCAATTGGACGAAAAACAAACAAATAATCCCAGCAGCAAAGACTTGGACAATAGGGAAAAGGTGAATAAGGACTAGACATTAGACATATTAAGGAAAATTATCATTACTTTCCTTACTGCGCTGATCATATTTGAACGATGTAGGAAGTTACTATTTTTAAAAAATACATACTGAAGCATTTACAATTATGTATTTGTATTTGTAATTTAAAGTAGTACTTTAAAATAATTTAGCAAAGCTATTTGAGAAAGCAAATACAGCAAAAGGTCAAGAATTTATCAATCTGAATAATATAGTGTTCATTTTACTATTTTCTACTATTCTTTTCTCCTTTTTTTTTTTTTTTTTTTTTTTTTTTGGAGAGGTTTTTGCTATAGGGCATGTGTGCTTGCCAGAAAGACAGAAAGCAAGAAATCACCCTCCAGGGCAGATGGCCAGGCTGCAATCCCTCCTCCATTCTCTCGGGATCTCCAGCACATACGCATATGCACGTGGCATGAGTTTAAGCCACCGAGTCTGGGACTCGAAGCACAGTCGACGAAATGGGAGTCCAGCAACATAGCCATTACGCTAACTGCTGGTCCCTATTTTCTACTATTCTTGAGTTTTGTTTTCTTTCTACAATAAAAGATGTGTGGAGGACTGCAGGGGAAAACGTCCTTTGGAGTGCCTTTAAAAGCTGCGAAGACAAGTAAAGGTACATAAAATATGTCTTATGAATAAGGCTGTTAAATACAACAAATACTAGAAAACATGAAAGAGTAACATCTCTGACCAGCAGAGTTTACCTGGGGAAGAAGGGGAGAAGCTAACTAGAATTATACAAGTAATGTGTACACCAATTGGATAGACATCATAGAGCACCATTGCTGTAATGTATAATGAGACTTTTTTTGAGAGGTTTTTGCTATAGGGCGCATGTGCTCGCCAGACAGACAGACAGAGACAGAGACAGAAAGCGAGAAATCACCCTCCCAGGGGGGATGGCCATGCTGCAATCCCTTCTTCTCCGTTCTCCTCTTGGGATCTTGGGCACGCACACACACGTGCCCTGCGTGAGTTTTAAGCCACCGGATCCGCGAAGCGAACTGCTGTCGACTACATGGGAGTCCAGCGACATAGCCATTACGCTAACTGCTGGTCCCGAGACTATGTTTAACTTTAGTAAAAACTGCCTATTTCAAAAATGACTGTCATTTTGCATTCTTACTGAAGCATCAGCACCTCCATTTTCTTTTTTGTGGGGGGGAGAGGTTTTCGCTATAGGGCATGTGCGCTCGCCAGACAGACAGCGAGAGACATAGAGACAGAAAGTGAGAAATCACCCCCCAGGGGGGATGGTCACGCCGCAATCCCTTCTCCATTCTCCTCTCGGGATCTTGGGCACGCACGCACACGTGCCCAGAGTGAGTTTTAAGCCACCAGGTCCAGGACGCGAACCGTGGTCGACTACGTGGGAGTCCAGAGGCATAGCCATTACACTAACTGCTGGTTCCCAGCACCTCCATTTTGAATATGACTCTGTGGCCATTTCCTTTTCCCTGTAACCTGATCCATTTATGTCTCCTAAAAATTCCTCACTGAGAGACCAACAGCTGGCGTAATGGCTGTGTCACTGGACTCCCATGAGTTCTACCACAGTTCAAGTCCCGGACCTGTGGCTTAAACTCACACTGGGAGCATGTGTGTGCGCCTGCCCAAGATCCTGAGAGGAGGATGGAAGAGAAGGAAGGGTGATTTCTCTCTTTCTGTCTCTCTGTCTCTCTCTGTCTTTCTGGTGAGCTCAGGCGCTCTATAGCAAAAATTCTCCAACAAACAAACAAACAAAATTCCTCACTGAATGCTTTTCACAAGCAGATAAACACTGCCATCCATCCCTGTCCTCCTAACCAAATATTTATCACCAGCAGATGCAGCCAACTATAACTATCCACCCAATTAGAACTGTCCTTCCTGGTAACTCGCTTTTTTGGTTTTTGTTAAATGCTTTCACATAAGTCAAGGCCTGTACTTTCTTAGATGTGTTGTTTTTTTCCTTTGTGGTTTTTGCCTTTATAAACCTTCCTCCCTCCTGCTCCGGGACTGCAGGGTTTTGGAGAGACTTGAGTCCTCTGCAGCCACTAGCTTAATAAAGACTCTTTAATTTGGCTAAAACTGGATGTCCTCTTATTCTCATGCTGATATGAATACAGCATTACCAGCAGTGAACAAGAGTCCCTCTTGTTCCACATCCTTGCCAGCGTATAATGTTGTCAGTCTTTTCAATGATAATAATTTTAATAAGACTATAGTGGTATCTCATGGCAAATCTCATGATATGAAATTCTGTGATAGGTTTCTTCTAATATGCTCATTTGCCATTAGTAGGCCTTCTGAATAGAGTCAAATATTTGACTCCTTACCTATTGTTAATTGGGTTACATTCTTATTGTTACATTTTAAGAGTTATTTGTATATTTCGCATAAAATTTCTTTTTTGGGTATATCTTTTGCAAGTTTCTTTCAGTGTGGCTTGTCTTTTCATTCTCTTCAGTCTTTTCAGAACAGAAGCTTTCATGTATGTCTTTAATAACATTATAAAGATATTCTATATTTTATGTGTCATTTTTATAAAGTTACACTTACAATTTTATTTCATCTAAATATTGACATTTATTGGTATAAATAATAGTTTCTATTCTTTTTTTATGTATATAAGATTGGCAGAAATACTCTCCTTTTCCTTTTTTTTCTGTAGAACTTGTGCTCTCACTGGACACAGAGAGATAGAAGGAAAGTGAGTGGTGTGCCCCTCAATGGAGAATGACCATACCACAATCCCTTTTCCTCCATTTTCCTCTCAGGATTTTGGGCACGTACACACCCATATCTGATGTGTTTTTCAAGCTACTGGATCCAAAACACTAACTTTCGTTGGCCACATATGTGGGATCCAGCCATCTTAACCATCAAGTCACTAGCTGGCCCATCCTGTTTCTTTTTTTTTTTTTTTTTTTTATTACCATCATAATCTTCTTTATATTACATTGGATTACATATAACTTTACAGTGTATTACGTTGGTTTTTCAAAAGGAAATGTCATGCAAATCAGTCAGTACAAAGACATTAAGCTCCCCGCTTCAACATTCGATATCTTTTCTATGTTTTCCCCAATCATTATTATTATTATTATTTTTTAAAACAGTCAATCGCTATTTCTCATTTTGCTTGTAAAAATACTTTGCCCATCATGAAATACTTCTCAGACCAATCCAGTTGAGAATACTATACATGTCATCAACAGTTAATAAGCCATATCTGTTTCTCACTAACGTCCTGCCTCTCTATTGTTCACTTGCTATCTTTCTCTATCCTCTTCTCTTCACTTTCCCCATTCCACACTGTCCTATTCTCATTAAGTACCTTCACTGCTTTTATGTCCTCCAGTTTTTTGCTCTCTATCATAGAGTGCAGATAGTCGGTATATATTGAGGGGATACATACAATATCTTTCTTTCATAGCCTGGCTTACTTCACTCAGCAATAGATCCTCCATATCTGACCACTTTCTATCAAATTCCAGGGTCTTGTTATTTTTTATGGCTGAGTAGTATTCCATAGAGTATATATACCACACTTTTCCAATCCATTCATCAGTTTGTGGACATTTAGGTTGGTTCCATGTCTTGGCAATTGTGAATAATGCTGCAATAAACATGGATGTGCAAGCACTTTTCTGACTGAGCGTTCTCCTGTCTTTTGGGTAAATACCCAGAAGTGGGATTGCTGGATCAAATGGTAGTTCTATTTGTAGATCTTTGAGGAACCTCCATATTGTTCTCCACAGTGGTTGAACTAGTTTACATTCCCACCAACAGTGTAGGAGGGTTCCCTTTTCACCACATCCCCGCCAACACTTATCACTTTTTATATTCTTAATCTTTGCCATTCTGACAGGGGTTAGGTGGTATCTCATTGTGGTTTTTATCTGCATCTCCCTTATGATGAGGGATGTTGAGCATTTCCTCATATGCTTTTTGGCTGTTCGTATGTCTTCCTTAGAGAGACTTTTGTTCAGCTCACTTTCCCATCTTTTAATCGGGTTAATCATTTTTTTTCGCATAAGGCACTTGAGTTCCCTATGTATTCTCGTTATCAGTCCCTTGTCTGAGGCATATTTAACAAAAATATTTTCCCATTCTGAGGGTTGTCGGTTCACACTTGTTACTGTGTCCTTTGCTGTGCAGAAACTTCTTAGTCTAATATAGTCCCACTTGTCTATTTTAGGGATTATTGCCTGTGCTTTGGGAGTCTTATTTAAGAAGTCTTTGCCTACTCCAATGTCTCCCAGAGTTTCCCCAGCATTTTCCACAAGTAGTTTTATTGTCTGAGGTCTTAGGTTCAGATCTTTGATCCATTTTGAGTTGACTGTTGTTAATGGTGAAAGATGGGGGTTCAGTTTCATCTTTCTGCAGGTGGATACCCAGTTTTTCCAGCACCATTTACTAAAGAGGTTTTCCTTTTCCCAATGGATTGACTGATATCCTTTGTCAAAGATCAGTTGGCTATAAGCTTTGGGAGTTATTTCTGGGGTCTCTATTCTCTTCCATTGGTCCACATGTCTGTTTTTATGCCAATACCATGCTGTTTTGATGACCACAGCTTTATAGTATATCTTGGGATCAGGGAGTGATATGCCTCCTACTCCATTCTTCTTACGCAGGATTGCTTTTGCAATACGAGGTCTTTTATGGTTCCAGACAAATTC